AATGTCATTTCAAAATAAAGAATAATGAAAATATTATATTATTTGTCTTTCATTTCATACTTTGTTTAATATCCTAATCGCTTTAAATTTCAAAAAAACGAAATCCTATGTAACTATCGTAACTTAATTTAATGCACGTAAATTAATGCTCAATATTTACGCAAATTCGATATGAATAAATACATACACAAAATGAATGAAATTAATGAATGAATGACAGATGTTGTCCTGCATGATATTTCAAGCGATTAGGATAAATTCATTCAAATAAATCCAGCCATTTAGTTGCATTATAGATAAATATTCCGACGGAACATGCAGCTAGTATAGCTGTCCCGCCCAACGTTGCCAATTTTCTATTGTTTGTTTACCCCTATTCCTTTTTAGTTGTTGACCGTGTGAGTAATGAATCAAAAAAAATAGGTGGAAAGTGGGTAGTTCACCTTCGGCGGAATAAGTGTTCTATTATGACATTTTTTTCATGATTTTTATACGAAATATAACGAAACCTCGATTTTTTTTTTTTAAATGGGGAGGGTTGATAGATTTCAAAGGAAGTTAAGCCTAATCTAACTTATCAGGGAGTGGGGACGCTCGACAGCGGGAAAGCGCGTGTACTGTATTATAGCTAATTGTCGTTCACAAACGGTTAGGTCAATCATTGTGTTTATTTTATACCTTCATGTGAACATTGGTCGACAAAACTGAATATCTAAATTTCAAATTTTTCCGGTAAATTTTCCAAAAATCGTTTTCATAATAAACTTACGAATACACGACAAAAAATCAGGCATATCGGTCCGTCCGTTTTCAATTTATGACGTCGGCAAAAAAATATCAATTCATTTTTACATACCTACATAATATAAATGTGAGTATTTGCCGATATATTCAAATTTATATTTAACAAAATAATAACTAGATTGTATCACTCTCCTGACGCCCTCTGATGAATCTTTATTTATTAATTTTCTGTCTGAATGAACATTTCAATTTTGGGACTACTTACGCGGAGTATCTTACTAATTATTCATTATTTTGTTTTTTAATCTCATCCATATCACCAAAGTAACCCATAAATCAACAAAAAATAAAAAATCGCTGTACTAAAAATACCAATTAATCTGTGTCAGCTACCCTTGCAATGCCACCTATCGGATCAAATTGTGAATCTAAACCATCAAAAGACTCATTCAAACATACATATAAAATTTCATCAAAATCAGTCCAGCATTTTAGGAGGAGTTCAGTGACAAACACACGTACAGTAGAATTATATATATACAAGGATTGTGCAACTTTTTATTTTCAAATATTTTTGTCTATTATTAAATTCTACATAGACAAAAAAAAACGCCATTTCTCATTTATTTAAAAATATAATTTGTTATTAGTAAGTACTACTTATAGTTAAAAATAAAAATAAAACTTTTTGTTTTTATTTTGCTTTCTTCATTTTTTTTTTTAAATATTAGCGAAGGTATTTATAGTTTCGCCGCCCTGGGGCATTGTTAAGAAAACTTACACTTCTAGGCATTTATTTGGTGATGGATTAAAAAAAACAAAACCGCCTATTGTATGTAAGCCTCCGAAAAAAACAAGTTTACCGCCTTGGATCGATGGCGCCCCATCTTAAATACAAAAAAAAGTCAATAAATGAATAATGCTTTGTTGATTTTTTTTTTTTGTTCATAACAAATTAAATAATTTTAGAATTTTGGGAACCCCACTAAAATTGGAAACCCCAGCGCCCTTAATCCGGACGCCCTTTTAAAATATAACTAAATCAACACTGATTTGTTAAAAGGGCGCATACCTGCACATTCTACGCGGGTTTACTTTGTGAACAAGGTATTATTATATATATATGTGCGAGTAGTTTTATTGTTTTCCGTGATAGGCATCGTTAGAAACTGTTTTGCTGTATTTTTACTACCTGAAAAAAACAAAACGCCATCAATACAAGTAGGACGGAATATCCGTATCTCTATATGAACGTTGAAGCACGAATGGTACGTACGTTGAAGATTGTGTAAAATATTGACCGAAATGGTTCTATATTGGGCCAGGCTTTTCATATTGGATGACATTTTATTACAATGAACACAAACACCGAATATAATACAGCGATAACATAAAAAAAAAATTGATCTTGTCGTTTTGTTAACTGCCAGTGATCAAAACCACCTAAACTAACCTAACCGCCCCGTGCCATCAGGTTGCTAACTATATACCAGTATAGTGTCGAGTGCAAAGAGTTTATGACAAGGTTAACCGGTTTTCACAAAAATAACTAGTCTTCTCGGTCTGGTCATTATACATTACGGATAATTATGAATTATTACGAATAATCAGTGGCATGGGGGGGAAGTTTAAGTAATGTATCCACTCAACGGCGAAAAAATATAAGTGATTGAATATCGAAATGCATATATTTTAGCCAAGATCGTAGAAAAAACTTGAAGTATTGATTGAGGATAGTTTTTTTTTTTTTTTGGGGATCTAGCTTTTAAATTACCAATTCAAAACGGCGGTGCATCGTGGCCAGAACAAAAATAAACTGTAAATATTATTTTCGTTACTAACCAACAACAACCGTGTTGTTATAGGTTTAAAGTATCCGAACATACCAAAATATTCATTCTCCCGTTAATAACAAAGACAGTTGTAAATAGAAAAAATATATTTTAATATTAAATATAATATTTCCTATTCTTTCGCAAGCGCTTGTTACAAATGAATTCATTGAAAATGGAAAACGGCAGTGAAGTATCAGATCGGAAATACGAGAGCTGTAACGATACCAGAGAAGTTTCGGAGGCCATGAAAGACCCGAAGCATGCGGATCGTATCGGTTCCGTATTCTCGAATATGTACTACTCGGTATTGCAGTCATCGCCCGAGTACGCCGACGATTTTTATGAGGAGGACGGCGATTACCAGACCATCTACGCGGACGGATCGACCGTCGTCGCCAAGACCCGGATCCAGGTAAAAGATGTATTGATGCAGCCAACGACCCATCCCAATTATGTAATAAATTCGGTTGTTTCGATGCCCTGTGAAGAACCTTCCAAAGGCCTGTCGGTCAACGTGACCGGCGACCAGTTCGTTCATGATTTTGTCATGGTGTACCGTCCGGAAAAGATTTTGGGTTACGCCATTGTGACGTCCATGATTCGATACGATACTGCGGTACCGGTCGCCAAACGCCAAATACCGGTAACAACATTCGCTGAAGGCGACTTACAGGCTATTACCGGCAGTACACCAAACATAGGTCTAGAAACAAGCGACGACCGTTCGCTAAATATAGCCGCCTGCAACGAACCCCTTCCCGGACCTGTTGCTATGAACATCACAATTAAAGATATCATCTCCGAAATATTTTCCGACATCCCGTCGGTCCCTACGGAACCCGCATTTTTGATTACAGCTAACCTTGGTATAGAACCCGCCGCCGAAAACATTAGAAAATCAAATATATTTTCAAAACTCATGTTCGTCCAAGAACCATTTCCAATTACCGATGTTTTCGAAAATGATACAGTAGCAGACATCGCGTACGTCCCAGAAAGCGGCTTTTCAAATACCGATGTTTTCGAAAATTATACAGGAGTTGAAATCGCGTCCGTCCCAGAACCCGCCTTTTCAATTACCGATGTTTTAACAAATGATACGGTTGGCGAAATCGCGTTCGTCCCAAAACCCGCCTCATTAAATACCGAAACCGAGAATAATGTACCCAAACCGTTATCCGATAACAAGAAAATCAAAAAACATTTATGCAATTTAGTTCTGTTTTCTGCTGCCTGTTGGGTTGTGTATCGATATATCTTATAAATTCGTTGCACCCGAACCGAAAATTTAAAATTGTTTGACAGTGAATATCATCGATAACACAAACAAGTAGTCCAGTATGTTTTCATGCTAAACACAATTCACAAATTTTTTTAAGCTTAATGATGTTTTTCCTTATCCAGGTACAAGAAGATATCACGGGCGCCAAAGTTCGGTATTTCGTGGCATTTCGACGCGATAATTTCGATGCGCATCAGATTGACGTGGTCATTTTGAAGTATTTGTTTTAATTATTTTTTTTTTTTTTTTGGTTTACGGTCATTGAGACCATACCGCCAAACAAATTTCTCTCCATCTATCCCTATTTTCTGCCGCTACTTTCCATGGTATCTCTNTTCGTTCGCGATGTTCGGGCTCTGGAATAGCTCCTCGAGTTCTTTATTATGACGTTTACGCCATTCACCTATGTTTGTGTCGAAGCATGGGCCGTAGATTTTCCGTAGGATTCTCCTTTCAAATACTTTTATTCTGGTTTCTTCTGCGTTCCTAAGTGACCATGTTTCCGCGGCATACAGTACTATGGGTCGTATCGGGGTCGTGTACATTTGTATCTTCAGGTTAGTCAATAATGTTCTTGAGCTCAGTACTTTTCCAAGACCAAAAAAACTTTTGTTACCTTTTTGTATCCTAGCACTGACTTCCATCTTCAGGTCATTATCTTATGTTAGCAAGTGCCCCAAGTACTTGAAATGTGTGACTCTTTTGAATACACGCCCTTCTACATTCATAGATTGACCTTGTTGATATTCTCTATCCTAACGACTGAATATCATGTACTCTGTTTTTTCGTCGTTTATCTCCAGTCCGACCTTACTAGCCATCATAATGAGTTTCCTGCATACTTGTTTAACCGTTTCTTCAGTTTCTCCTTATATCGCTATATCGTCCGCATAAGCCAAGATATTTATGTTCGAGTTTCCCAATACCATTGTTACAATTCGTTTCTCTGATTACCTTTTCTAATATAAAGTTGAACAATATTGGTGATAGCGCATCCCCTTGTCTTAGGCCTGTCCTTACCGTTGCTGGCTCTAACAATTCCGATGCTACCTTTATTTTGATTTTTGTATTTTGCAGAGTGGCCTCAATTAAATTTATTAGTTTATTTGGTAACTCAAACTCTTTTAATATGTTTATAAAGCTATGTCGGTGGACAGAATCGTATGTTTTTTTGAAATCCACAAATAGTATACAAATGCTTTTATTGAATTCCCATGATTTTTCTATGATCTGTCTTAGACTGAAGATTTGATCTGTTGTTGATCTGTTGGGTCTAAAACCACCTTGATAATCTCCCAGAATCTCTTCCGCAATGTGTTTAACCCTATCTAAAATGCAGTAGGACAATATCTTGTAGACCACATTTAATAAGCTTATTCCTCTGTAATTATTACATATTTGTGGGTCACCTTTTTTTATGGATTGGGCATACGACTGCAACATTCCAACCTTCCGGTAGTTCTTCCTTCTCCCAAATATTGGTTAGTAACCTATGTATATGTGTTAATGAAACTTCGTCCAGTATTTTCATAATCTNACCACATTTAATAAGGCTATTCCTCTGTAATTATTACATAATTGTGGGTCACCTTTTTTATGGATTGGGCATACGACTGCAACATTCCAGCCTTCCGGTAGTTCTTCCTTAGATAATTTCGATTTAAATGTTTTAGAACCCAAAACCATCACCAAAAACAACACATCCATCCAAGAACCTTTTCGATTACCCGTAACACCGATATAGAACCCGACAATGCCGCCGGAAACGTTAAAAAACCGGTTTTATTTTTTGGAATCACGTTCATCCCTTAACCCGCCTCCACAAATACCGCCCCCGAGAATAGAACACAAACCCTTCACCGATAACGAGAGAATCAAAAAACATTTATGCAATTTAGTTCTGTTTTCTGCTGCCTGTTGGGTTGTGTGTCGATATATCTTATAAATTCGTTGCACCTGAACTCAAAATTTAAAATTGTTCGACCGTGAACATCTTCTTTACTCAAACAAGTAGTCCAGTATGATTTCTTGCTAAACACGCTTCACAAAATCTTTTAAACTTATTGATGTTTTTCTTTATTCAAGTGCAAGTGAATTTCACGGGCACCAAAGGTCGGTATTTCGGTGTTGCAGTATTTCGATGCGCGTCAGATGGACGCGGTCATTTTGAAACATTTTTTTTTTAAATTATTATTAATTCATTAAAAACAGGATAATGCCTATTAACATTGCTAATCCCTGTTAATTTATAAAATAAATGAATGTAAAAGATACAAATAAAATAAATTATTATTAAAAGTATAAAATAATTATACTTAATATATGAAACATGTAATCTTAATATATACGATTTTAAATTGTGCGTTATCCCCGTTTACATTATTAATCCCTGTTACTTTTCAATATAAATGTACGTATGAGTAAAAATAAAATCAATTATTATAAAATGAATATACTACAGTCGCTGTAATTTTCAAAATAAATTTATGTATTAAATTTAAAAAAAATAAATATGAAAAAATATACTCTTTAAATGAAGGATGTATTCCTTATGTATACAACTTTCAATTGTGCGTAGTTGCTGTAATTTTGAAAATAAATGTTTTTATTAAATTTAAAAAAATTAACTATTAGTAAATGAAACATGTATTCCTTGTATATACAATTTTTAATTGTGCGTAGTCGCTGTAATTTTCAAAATAAATTTATGTATAAAATTAAAAAAAAATTCATTTTTATTGAATATGAAATATACATTCTTTAGAAATATCTTAAATATTATAACATATTGTATACATTTATTTTGAAAAATAAATCATAAATAATAATTAAACAAAAAAAAAACTTGCGTCAAAATGTGTCGTGTGTTAAAATTACCGCGTCGATACGACGCGACACCGAAACGCCGACCTTCGGCGTCCGTGACATACGCTTATGCTCGGGTATGGAAAGACGTCATCAAGTATAAAGAATTTCGTGATCCGTGTTTACCAGGAAAACAAACTGGACTACCGGTTTGGGATAAGGAAAATGTCCAATGTAGAAACGCTGGCGGCGTTCCTCGCGGCCTCCGATTGGTCCGTCGCCCCAACCTGCAGGAGCGATCCGAGCGGACAGGCGTTCGACCCCCACCCCCCCCCCGGCACGGTGCCCCCCGCTCAGGCGGCGGCGTATCGGCAACGAGATCCGCTCTCGTCGGTAACCAATGCACGCCCGAACTATCACAAAATCGCCAACGTGTAAACCTACATTCCCGGGTTCCGCGCCTAATCGTCCGCACCGTGCGTGCAGTGCCGTCCCGTTCACCGAACCCCTTTTGTTGTTCACGTTTTTAATCATATTGATATTAATACGTGTATTACGTTTTCATTTTGTTTATAATGTCGCATGGCAATGTTTATTTGTGACGCGCACCGCGCGTGACGTTACTCATAGACTTTTCGATTATGCCGAATCGCCGTATACTCAACAAATGTGCAACGCGTAACTCCTTTGACCTACACGAAGAACGCGTGCGATCCGGGCGAAAATTGGAATTTCGGGCCGATCTACAAGCGATCTGACCCGCTATCGAAGCACCACCAATCGGCGTACACCTGTCATGTGTTGTTTTTTGACAGTTTGCGTATTTCCGTTTTGAATCCTGCATGCATACAATCGCTCATTGTGCGCGGTGACTGAAATTCCACGTGTAACGCCCGTAAAATGATGGGTGAAATATTACACATTACAATATTAATACCATCGTATTACCATATCGTGTGTGTGTGTGTATGTGTGTCTGTGTGTTTTGTGTGTGTGTGTGTGTACTTTCGAAAGTACAGAAGTGATTTTCGCCGTTGAATATTATTCGCCGTCTGCGTTTTGCGCGTCAATGTTCCGCATTTTCGATTACGCGCGTACACCTACACGCACACATGTTACGTTATTATTATTATTATTATTGTTATCATAAACACGAGTGGTGTGCGTATTATTTCATTTTATCTCGGTGATGCGACCGTGTTTATACACGCGGTTCTCCGAAGTCCGTACGCGTGCATACCTGTCCGTACAATACTACTATTATAACATTCCCCCCAACCACTACTATCGCGCTGTATACGCACGCATCATCTCCCATGATATTATGTATTTTAACGCATCCCGCCGCGTTACTACCGTTATTATTGATTCGCAGCCCTTCGGATATCACATAACTCTGCACACATATTATGTTATTGTAATATTACGTACTCGTATCGGTGTGTAACAAATGTGACAACCGCGGAACGATTCGCACATTTCCACGGAAAACCGAATCGACACTACTACTACTATGATAAATCTAGTAGTAGGGGGGGTTCGGGGATCAGTACTCTGATCAACAGTGAATTTTCGCCGGCAATATCGGCCTCTTTGGTCACTGAAGACGGATTGTATGTACAATTAGAATCGTATCTTTATCCCAGTCTGCGTGTTTTGTTGACCCGATTCTCCGATCTCCGATCGTTACCTTATTTCCGAATTAGATGGACAATTTAAGAACGAGTCTGATAACCATCATGGAGTATCCGTTATTTATTATCTATGTTTTTACAGTAGTTTTGATATTACATGATACTATGTATAACTTAACAATACGAAAATAACAATGAATTAAACCCATAAACCTTAAACCTCCACAAATGGTTGAACTGTTAAAACAATTTATTAATTTTAGTACCTATGTACAGACTTTAATCAATTTTCATACAGAAAACAGCTGTCCAAGGAATAAGGATAATGGGGACGGGTGCAGCCACAGTTATAAGTTGTTTAATGTATACTTGTAATCAACGATAAAAAAAAAAAAACGGGAAAATATACAAGAATTGTAGATATTAGTTAAAATATATTACGGCCTTTTATTTCTTGTATACAAATTTTCTACCGGAAATTTTGCTCCAACTTTTAAAAATAACAATTTTTTTGAAAATAAATTTCATCGGGGAGGTACTTTAAAGAAGTCGTTATACGATTTTCCCCGGAGTTTTCTCGAAAATTGTGAAGAACAAAAGTAAAACACGGGAAAATATAAAAAATATATTATTAAAATATTATGATTTTTTTTGCTATGAACAACTATTCTACCAGCAATTTTGTTCCAACGTGTAATGAGCAATGTTTCTAAAAGGAAATTTCACTAGGTAGGTACTTAAGAGAGGTAATTTTTCGATTTTCTCCGGAGTTTTCACAGCAAATGTGAAAAACTAGGATAAAACATTGGAGAACCGGGGAAAACGTAAGAAAACTTGGAAAATCAAAACAACATATAACAAATATTATTAAAAAAATTTTATAGAGCTTATTTAATTATTTTACTTTACTATGGTGTAGACATTGTTAACAAATCATTACTATCAATTGAACTCCGTATCAATTGGCTTTTCGTAACCAATAATTTATCGTTGCTTACAGATATACACTAAATTTCCGTCTGTATCATACCTTTCCAACTTCCCATCTACACCAGTGGCTGCACCCGTCCTCATTATCTTACCTTTCTTTTTTTATTATTATTTATAGATTAATAAACTACTATAATTCATACATATTTTTCTTTGAAGTAAACTTAAATGTTGGCAATAGTATATATACATTTTTAAGTGCCTACACAGTAAAAGATAAAAGTTATGTACACTAGGTTGGAAGAACTGATTTTTATTTATCTAAAATAAAGTCTAAATTGCAATAAATGTATTACGATTACAAATAATGAGACCTGCGAGTTCACTGTTGTGAAATGTGTGTGTCATTTATAAGAACATAATATTACATAATAATCCGGTGACGATTTCGTCCGTCAAACAAAAATAGCGATATTTCAGAACATGTCCTACAAAGAGCAGGCCGAAAGCATTACGCGCGCGTCATGTAAATCGCATTCTTTAACGAAAAAAACCAAAATAACTGGTGAACGGTTTTCCTGTGAAACGGATAAAGCCGAAATACGCGTTATTCTCAAACAGTTAAGACTTTGAAACTCAAAATGATTGCCATCAAGTTGTGATTTTAGTTGTAATCCAGATTTGTTTGAAGTCGCAGTTTGAAGCGCGTGAATTTTTTCGTCGGAGCGTCACTAAAAGAAGAAAATTATAAAAATAATAATAATAAATATATTACATTGAAAATTAGTAAAAAGCAAATAAATTTGAAATCGGCAGTCACCTAAGACTTGAAGTAATTATGAAATATATTACACGCCACTGTCTTAAGCAGAAATTATTTGTATCTGATATAGACTCTTTCAGGTACCTATACCGCCATTGGGCGTGGTGAAGGGACTTCGGAGAGGCCGTGGACTCTGAATTTGTACAGTTGGTGGCCGGGTTGTTTAGATGACTCATGAGTCATACCTTGTATATGATTCTACCTATACATAATCTATATTAATAATTATTCAGAAAAATTAAAAGGGATAA